GGAAGGACACCTCATACCGCCGCTGCATAACCCGGCGGAGCTGGACGTGGACAAATTACGGCAGCGGCAGCGGTACGGCGATGAAGCGACGGCAGAGGCGGCGGTGGGGGGCCCAGCGGCCGCGGCAGGGGAAGGTGGGAGTAAAGGCGGTGGTAGCGGTGGGGGGCCGGCGGCGGCGGCGGCGGTGCGCGCCGCAATGGATGTGCTGGTGGCGGCGGTGGAAGCAGCTGCGGCAGCGATGACGGGATCGGGGGCGGGGCCGGGGGCGGGGGCGGGTCAACAACTCCACGATCACGGTTTCCAGGTGCAGCACCAAGCCGGACAGCAGTACCAGCAGCAGCAACAGCAGTTGAGTGGTTTCAGTACGGATGGTACGGACGCCGCTTCGGCAGTGGCGGTGGAGGCTGCTGTCAAGGCCCTCAGCGATGCAGCCGCCGCCGGGGCCATGGCCGCTGCTGCCGCCGCCGCTGCCGCCGCCACAGGCGCCGCGCCGGGGAGTCCCGATTTCGGAGAAGCGGGCGGAGCGCCCGCAGTCCAGGCGGCGGTGGCGGCGGCAGCAGCGCTGTTGCTGCCGCCGCCGCAACCTGGCGGCACTGTGTCTCTCCCCGCAGACCGCACTTCCCGGCCGCTGGACAGCCCGGCAGCAGTGACGATGGCGGCCACCGATCCTGCTCTCAATCCAAATCTGAATCCAGATCCAGATCCAGGACTGCAAGAGCGCTCGCCGCCTGCCACGGCGGCGCTGACGCCGGCTCCTGCTGTACGGCAAACACTGCCGCTTCATCACGCGGACGGCGGCGGTGACGGTAGCGGTGGCGGCGGAGCTCCCGGGGATGCCGACGGAGCGTTAATGGGACCCCTGGCGGGGCTCCCGCCGCCGCCGTCGGCGCCGGTGGCTGCTTCTGCTGCTACTGCGAGAACGGATGAGCAAGTGTTGACGTCGGGAGATGTACGAGCAGCGGGCGGTAGCGGTATCTCTGTCGACGGCGGTGCAGGGCAGGTGGTAGGAGCTGCCGAAGAGGCTGCGGCGGTGGCGGCGGCGGCCGCAGCTGACGGCGGCGGCAGCAAGTACGGCTTTGACATCGGCAGGGGTGACGGCAGGGCTGGCGGCGACGAGGCGGAACCCTCCAGCTCCGCTTCCGCCTCCGCCTCCGCCTCCGCCTCCGCCTCCGCCTCCGCCTCCGTGTTCACCTCTAAGGCGGATTCCGGCGGTGTGTTGGGTCCAGGGGAGCTTCAAGTGCCTGGACCCATCCCCGACAACTGCATCAAGGTGTGCAGCCCGCCATCGGAGGAGGAGCAGGTACGTATGCGTGAGTATGCGTGAGTATGCGTGAGTATGTGTGTGTGTGGGGGGGTAAGATTGGCGTAAGAACGGGGTTAGGAACTTCATAATTGGAAGGCGCAGGGCTGGGAAAAAGGGGCGGGTGCCCTTAGGGGTGTTTTACCGCACCGCGTCTCAATGCCCTCCTTGCTGTTATAGATGACTCTTACTG